ACAGCCAAGGGCGCAGGGACAGGGGATGAAGAGGGGGATGGGAGGCGTGCTATACAGGAGGGGGTATCAAGTGAAATCAACTAGCGAATCCAAGCCCAAAGTAAGGCATTCCAATGAGAGCGATGTGGTGGTGGTGGTGTGAATGCGACGTGGAGCGGACAACGGATCAGTCATCGTCAAGTGGAAATCAGCAGAGCCTGGTAACTACTAGCGTGAGAGGGCATCCCAACAATGGGGCTGCTGTTGGCATTTCTCACCGACGGATACTTGAAAGGCAAATGGATGGAGTCCATGTATGGCTCGATCGATGCGCCGAGCGGCCGGTGAGGCATGCTGTGGTGATGGTGATGTTAAGGGGGAAGGAAAGCCGGCCATCAACTACTTACTCTCTGACGAGGTGTGGGACGTGTGTGGTCTCCATTTTGAAGGAGCAGTAGTCGGTCCACAAGTCGACAGAATTGGTGATGCTGGCGCATCCTCGCTCGTAGACCTAGAGAGAAGCGCAACGTCAGTCGCGGCCGGGAGCCAAGGGATGCAATGCGATGCGATGCGACGCGATGCGACACGAAACCGACTAACCATCTCTGCTGACTCGGGTCCAGCAATGTTGAACTCGAGGTCCGCGTACTTCTTCCAGTAGCCAAAGAGCAGAGGGAATTTGAGGAGGAAGCGATCGTAGGCATCTCGAAGAGTGGCAAGGGCCTGGGGGCTGGAGTTGCGGTTCAGGCCGCCCTCCAGACCCTCGCAGGCGCGAACCAGCTTCTCCCAAGTTTCGAAGTTATCGGGATCAACTTCCTGTAGGCGCGTATTCAGATTAGCATCTTTTTCAATTGATTTTGATATCAGGTGCGACATAGTTGGTGTCGCAATTCACGTACCACATCGGCCTGGAGCTTCTTGATCTCGGCGCTCTCCTCCTCGGAGCTCCCAAAGTGGTCGTAATCAGACATGACGGGCGGAGATTTCAGATAACGAACGGCGGAATGACTGAGTTTCCAGGAAAAAGTCGGCGAGGCGCGGGACTGCGAAGGGCTGCAGCAGGGAGCAGGAGGGGATTGTAGATGGTGGAGTGAGGGCGCCGCGGATCTCGAGGCTGTTTGGTGGCCGTTGCAATCGTGGGTGACCGGGTCGAGCTTCGAGGTCGCGAATGGAAGGGGGGCTGGAAATTTTATGAACGGGCATTAAAGGTACGGATTGCCCGCAGGCAGGCAAGTATCTCTGCATGCAATTGGGGGAAATGGGGCTGAGGCAGGGTAAATGGCCTTGGAGACCGGAGGGACTTGTCTTTTTGGCGCCATGGCACCCAGAAGTAATGTACCTTGACAGGTGAACCCTTGCTCTCCGTGCTTTATCAGTGACGCGCGGAAGCGAATCAGATCGGCCAACAGCCTGAAGAGATCAGGCGGTCGGCAGTCCACAACTGAGCCGCTTCCATCAGCTCTCCAGACTCTTGGAGTTTAGCCAGGCACGTCCCGATCTCTATTTGCAGCAAAGTCTACCACTCCTTGTTCTGCATTCTGTTCTACATAGGTTGGTACACTGGATGGTATCATGGTGTATTTGCAATCTGTGTGTGCTTTGCCCGGATCGATTGAAGGCCGCATCATCCCATCATCTAAGCTTCTTGCCACTCTGCTTATATCGCATGGCACTTCTAGAATCTGATCTAGAATCCGGAACGGAGCCGACAAACCAGAGTGGAGCAGGTTGTATCCGTCGTCTGGTCGTTGACCCCCTAGGGCGCAAGTCGTGAGTTTTTCCCAGGTGGCCATCTTCGGCGGGCTAACTTAGGTAAGCAACCGGCAGCCAGTGGATCCTATTTGACGTCCGATATTCATGAAAAACCTTTCCTTTCTCTTTTTTCTCTTTTTCACAATAAGGCTCGTGATGATTACCATACAATACATGATAGGAAGAGAATGACTGACCACCCAAGGTGGCAGCGTGATCTCAATTTACATATCTGAAGCCTGCTTTGCCTCAAAGCATTGACATTATTATTCTTTCTGGCGCCCGCAGGGCATTTCCCAAACCCCAGGGCTGGCATCCTTTCCGCGTCTCATCTTTACATCTTTTCCCCCCTTTCCGCTCGTTTCCCCCATAAGCATATTCTTGGTGTCGTATCTAATCAGACACATTGTTCCTGCCCGTGATCAATCCTGAAGCGAAGAAAAGGGTTGTCCCCTGGCATTCGTCCCCCTATTATAGCTTACCACCTGCCTAAGTTGTGTTTTCTCCGAACTCGTACCTGATGGGTTGAGCGCACACGTCTCGTCATAGCAGGCGGCAGACCATCCAGCTGATTGTGGGATAGAAAAGACAGCATCGTAATCAGTCGCCAGCGCTGCGAGGGTTTCTACATAGTAGCAGTGCTCAGTTTCGACTGCAAGCATTCAGCAAACCTGAAAAACTCGGGTCCAATCCAGTGTGGTAGTCGTGACCAAAAATTGTTTCCGAGAGAAACGTCAGATAGTACCCTTCTTCAAATGTCCGGTCAAACACGCATGGACTGAATTCAAGTCCATAGTGCTTTTTCAGCATGAAGGTGTACAGCTGGAGAGGAGGGTGTGGAGCGCAGTCCTCCCACGCCTCCTCACCACCGAGAAACAAATACCGATCTCGCAGAGTTACCGCTATGTCGAAACCATGGCAAGCGAAGGGGTTGCCGTCCTGTGCACTCTCTGAGGATGAGGCCTGTAATTGAGTCGCTACCAGTCGAGTACGATGCATGTCCTCGATGTTGATAGGCATCGATACCTCTTCCAATTGAAACTCCCCAAACAGAACAACTGTCACTTTACGCGTGGGAGGCAGGTCAGAAGCAGTTGAGTTCTTGAACGGCGGCCAACCATGGCGATGCTTTCCACCGGCGTTAAAGAACTGGGGTGAGTGATACTCGTGGGCATAGATGGAAGCCATCACCTCCCATGGTACTTCGGCGGCACAGGCCGGGTCTGGGACAAGGGCGATATCTTCTATCAAGTAACGAGCAAGATGCCCGAACACCTGTTCTTGGCTGGCTGGTGTCATCTTGTGAACGTCGTACACCGGGAACTCTGCAATGTATGCCTGGCTGTCGTCCGAAAGACCTTGCCAATCTCCGCGAGCTTGCAGTGATCGAAGCTCCTCGAGAAAGCGTTTCCCAGCCCCGCCTGCGGCAGCTTTGATGAATAGCTCATTGTGGGACTTCCATAAGAAAGCGCCAGCCAGAAGGTTTTTGTATAGCACTCGATGGAATTTTTCTTGGAAATCGTGAAAACGTTGATCGAATACGGTGTCGTCTTTGATACACCAGGTGACATCTTTGATCTCGGGGCATAATAGACATGTATACCCGTGTTCCTCAAAGTGAAAGTACGCGTACTCCAGACACGCAGCCAGATGACAGAACGCAAGTAAGTCCGCCAACTCGGGCAAACGGCACTTTTGGTGAGAGGGCTCCAGCTCTTCGATATCATCATGCGTCATATTAGGTGGTAGCCGGCCGGCGTGGAAGGCTTCTTTGACTGTATTTGTGGCGCGTACCTACGCAGTTGAAGTGAGTGATGGCGAGGCCTGTCGACGTTTGGGGAAGCAGATACCTACGGCAACGACAGCATGTTCGTACGCGGGGATTGTTCGCGTGCCAATGCTATGGATGATGCTCGCGCCATGGTCCAACCACACTGCGTAAGTATACTGACAGGAGCTGGCAAGAGCGAACGCGTCATTGAAGCTGTCACAGCTGGCCAACACCCGGGCGATGATTTCTGGGGGGTATGAGGTGAACATTGCCATTGTCACGTGAATTAAGAAACTCAGGTAGCGGAAGAAGGAGAGGAAGGAGAGAAGCTGCAGGCAACAATAAGTAAACGCTTGCAAGTTGAGAGACAGGATAATCGACAGTGGAGGTCAAAGTACTCGAGGTACCTTAATGAGGCGGGTACTGATTCCCGACCTCACCTTGCCTACCTATACCTTACCCTACATTACCCAGGTACCTACTCTATAGTACCAACGGCGCGGATCCACATTTATCATAGAAGCTCTCACCTCCATATTCTGAGAATCGAGCTGCATAGGTCGAGCCATCGCCAGCGTAAAATTGCAAGTTATGGCCATAAAGCTAGGGACAATTTGTCTGCGGGTGAGCATGATTATGAATACACTGCAAGATGACTCGACTGCTCTAACACTTCTCCAAAGGGTGGACAGGGTTCATCGCATGTCTAGTTTAGCTTGCTGCTTTGTCTTTTGAGGGAACCTTGTACTGTTCCCAAGAGCTGCCTCTCAATATGTCATTCCCTGACTGTCTTTGAATCCAGAATGACTACGCGGTGACTATCGAAATGCTATACAGCCCAAAAAAAAAAAAAAAAAAAAAAGACTTGTCGCGCAATATCTTGAGGTTGATGCTAAAATTCCATCCATAATCGTACCTACTACCTTCGGTATATTGAGATCCATGTTAAGGTACGGAGTAGCTGAAGTAGGTATTCGCAGAGTTGAGACAACACCAGACCATACCTATCCCTGCCTTGGAACAAGCACAAGCCGGCTGTTTTCTTCCAGGCTCCCAGATGGCGACAAGGCAAGGTGGTCCGTGAGGCTGAAACCACCTGGAAGGAAGCGAGCTGCCTCCCACTTGCCTGGCCAGTCGGAGCTTAAGGTAGGCGCTAAACGTACAGCGGTCCTATGCCCCTGGTTACCTCCGCCGGGACGGACGTCATTGTCGGGCTCCGTGTTGGCGACCCAAATTCCGCTATTGTCAGCCGCGACATTTTGCCAAACGCCATAAACCTTTGGGGGCTGTCAAGCCATACTACCTCAAGCTCCAACTTCGCATCAACAAAACGACGACATTCCGCACCGATAGTCCCCTTCTCGCACGTTAACATCATCAACCTTGACTTCACTGGCCCGCCGACGACGGCGCCCTTCGATGAACCACCGAACTCGTCCAAGCATGCCCTGCGACGCCTGTGCTTCCCCGAACCTGTCAGCAACACCTCCGAACGATCATGGATTACTCCAGCTCTGGGACTTGGCCTTCTCAGGTGCCGGCACCAGAAAAGTCTAGCCAGCTGTACATTCGGGACTACCCCCATCGCTCCATCGCAATAGTTTCGTCCTCTCATGCTCTCATATTTCGCTACAGCTCCTCGAGCGCCGGCGCAAACGGCTCCCTTGCCTCCCTCGCATCCACCCGTTCACGACCCAATGGCGACCCTGCTGCGTCGAAATGCATGGTCGAGTTTACTCAGATCACAAAAAAGACGCTTGCCGAATACCGACCGCTGACCCCACGACCCATCTTTGGAACGTTGGGTTTGATTTCTGTCGAGGGCGACGTGTTCCTTTCCGTTGTGACACATGCCACAAGAGTCGCTACCCTTAGGCCGGGGGAGACCGTGGAACGGATTGCGAGCGTTGCATTCTTCTGCCTCAACAGAAGCGAGTGGGACGATGTTGTCTCTCTCGATCCTCTAGATTCCGAGGTCTCGGATGCCAACTCTGTGTATGGCCAGAACCTCAGAGGGCGGGAGCTTCAGGTGGAACATCCTTGTACGGACCTTCGGAAACTTCTGGGAAATGGAACATTCTACTACAGCACCGACTTCGATCTCACCAATAGGTTGCAAGATAGGTATGGTCGTGTCCAGTTCCGGCTATAATGCGTCGCTGACCATGTAGGACCGTGAATTCTTATACTTTTGACATTGACAACTTTGACGATTCCTTCCTGTGGAACTCGTACATGATCAGCCCATTGGTCCAGTTTAGGTCTCGACTGCAGCCCCAGGAGCGCGAAGCTTTGGATTCATCACGATTCCTCACATCTGCTATCCGTGGGTTCTGTCGGACAATGGCCATCCCCCAGACGAGTGCTCCTCTCAAAACGCGATCAACCGGGCTACCATCGTACCTGACCGTTGTATCAAGACTCTCTTGTCGCAGAGCAGGAACCCGATTCAACTCCAGAGGTATTGACGATGACGGCAACGTGGCAAACTTTGTCGAGACAGAAACCATATACTGGAGCCCCGGCGGGACTCTCTTTTCCTATGCTCAAGTCAGAGGTTCAGTTCCTCTATTTTGGGAACAGACTGCGGAGCTCATCCCTGGCAAGCAAAACATTACCGTTATCAGGTCCCCTGAGGGAGCCCAGCCGGCCTTCAATAAACACTTTGCGGACCTGGAGCAAGCCTACGGCGCCGTTCACGTGGTCAATCTTCTGAGTGAAGGCAAACCTGGCGAGGCGCAGCTCAGTCAGTTGTACCATCTCGGTGTAGAACATTGTCCATTAAGCCAGGTTGGGGAGCACGAGTCGCAAGACCATGCGCTGTTGAGAGAGACCCACTACGACTTCCATGCCGAGACGAAAGGCCCCGGAGGGTACGAGGCTGCGCGCCAGATCCGCAGATACATTGAGAACTCGATAGACGGCTTCGCCTACTACTTGGCGGAGCAGAATGAAGATCTAGGCGCTGAGGCCAACGACGGTCAAGGCTCAAGCCGTATGGTAGTGGTTCTCCAGCAAGAGGGCGTGTTCCGAACAAACTGTCTCGACTGTCTGGATAGGACAAACTTGATCCAGACCCTCATCTCTCAGATGGCTACAGAGGCTTTCCTGGGCCATCGAGGCGAGTACGCCACCTCGGATTTTTGGATGCGGCACTCGACCTTGTGGGCAGACAACGGAGACGCTCTTTCGAAGATCTACGCGGGAACTGGTGCACTCAAATCGTCCTTTACCCGTTCTGGAAAAATGTCCCTGGCTGGAGCTGTTGCAGACATGCGCAAATCTGTGCAGCGTCTCTATCACAATAATTTCACAGATTCGGCTAGGCAAACGACCATTGACCGGCTGCTGGGAAGGCTGGTCAACCAACTACCCGTTCTTCTTTTCGACCCTATAAGTGATTACGTTTCTGGAGAATTAACAAAGAGAAGCGCTGAGTTCTCGTCCACACAGGACATAAGCATGTAAGAATTCTGTGCGCACCCTTGGCTCTCAGGCTTACCCGCGTAGGTTGGTCGGTACTTTCAACCTTAACGGTCGCACTGAAGGCGTCGATAGCGATCTTGATGCATGGTTGTCTCCAGCAGAACTTGGCAATGTGCAGCCCGAAATAGTTGCTGTTGGATTCCAAGAGATTGTCGAGTTGAGCCCACAACAAATCATGAACAGCGACCCCTCAAGGAAACAACTTTGGGAAGCTGCAGTCAGAAGATGCCTCAATAAACGCGCCAAGTCGCTTGATGGAGAGAGATACGTATTGCTCCGGAGTGGACAACTCGTCGGCGCGGCATTATGCATTTTTGTCAAGGCATCGGCCTTGGCCAACATTAAGAATGTTGAGGGAAGCGTAAAGAAAACGGGGCTATCGGGAATGGCCGGCAACAAAGGAGCGGTTGCCATACGATTTGACTACGCGAATACCCATATCTGCTTCGTGACAGCCCATTTGGCTGCCGGATTTTCGAATTATGACGAGAGAAATAGAGACTACGCAACGATTCACCACGGGCTACGCTTTCAGCGAAATCGTGGGATCGATGATCACGGTAGCTATATTCATCCCGAAGGCTTATATCACCCATGAGCTTAGAGCTGACCTTGGAGCAGATGCCGTTGTTTGGCTGGGAGACTTCAACTACAGAATTGGCCTCAGTTCTGAGAACGCCCGCAGTCTAATCAAAAAGGGCGATCTAGAGACACTTTACGAGAACGATCAGGCGAGTAGATAATATCCGCCCGTGTTCCCCATCAACATGCTGACTTCTTGGTAGTTGAACCTTCAAATGATCGCAGGACTTGCGTTTCCCTTTTATTCAGAGGCCCGTATCAATTTCCTGCCTACATACAAGTTCGATCTTGGCACGGACAATTATGATACTTCGTACGTTCAAAAGGTCGATATATCTGAGAAAGTAAAAACTGATCTCTCACAGCGAGAAAGCCCGTATCCCAGCCTGGACCGATCGCATTCTGCGCAAGGGTGGGAGCCTGCGTCAACTAGCGTACAACTCAGCTCCTCTCAAGTTCTCGGATCACCGGCCAGTGTACGCTCTATTCCAGTGCAACGTCAGTATTGTCGATGAAGCTTTCCGAGATCAAATCAGCAAAGAGCTATACCAACGGCGAAAGGCCGAAGTTGGAGACACGACGGCAAATCTGGACTCAGAGGAAACCGACGATGAGGATCTGATTGGCTATGAAGCCATCGAGCCTGGGCTGCCTCCTGCCAGCTCCGACCGCCAGAAATGGTGGTTGGAGAACAAGCAGCAGGCCAGAGTTGACATCAAGCAACCGACGGCTCCCGAGGGCCACGCCGCAATACTCAACCCTAATAGGGCGCCCAATCCTTTCACGCCGACTGGAGAGCCTGACTGGGTCAACGTACCCAGGTCAAGATTGTCGTCTTTCTCCAGCGTATCAACTTCGCCATACGAGCACGTTTCTGCGCCCAATGATCTCTCGTCGTCGGCAACGAACCGGATAACCAGGAAGCTGCCTCCGCCTTTTGATCCGTCAGGCATGCCAGGAAAATTTAACGGCCTCAGCATCAAAGATGAAAAGTCGCAACGCGGAGAAACGCCTCCTCCGCCACCGCCGCCTAGAAGACAGACGGGAGCAAGCGCAGCAATCCAGCACCCACCACTGATACCCTCCAATAAATCGCGAAATACGACAACTACGCCTCCTCCTCCGCGACCGTCATCCGCCATTTCCCAGCTTTCGCAGGTGTCGTCACAATCCAAATCCAAACCGGCACCACCTGTGGCGAAGAAGCCGGCACACCTGGTTACAGCACCGGCTGCAGCATCATCAGCTCTGAGTAGCAATGGGATGGGTCAGTATAGAGATGAGCCGGAAGAAAAACCACCACTGCCTGTCCGAGCTTCGACAGGCTTCACGAATCTGGGTGCGAGTAGGGAGGGCACTCTCCGTAAGCCAGTAGGTACGCCGGCTAAGCCTCCCAAGCGAGCGGGAACCATGACTATTGAGTCCGGGAGGCACACTCCGATGGCTGGGGCCGTCGCTCTACCGGGAATGAGGGCTGGTGAGGAACGACCAAAGCCAAAGATCCCGGCAAAGAAGAAGGCGCCGGTAGACTTGCTAGACTCACTGGGTGACGATGGACCCAGCGACATGGGAAGCTGGGAGACGTTGGTTCCCAGCTCTCAGAGATGACGGGATCGGTTCTCAAGTCTTTCATGACGAAGTTATGGACAAGCTAGCGGGTGATGCTAGAAGCAAAAACGGCGATACTGCCTTTGATGATTGATGTGAATAGGCAATAGCATTGAGCTGACTCGGGCGGACTCACATTGCTACGGCGCTGTAGTGGATGATTAGACGGAGTGAAGCATACAAAAAGCAAATGTCGATCAAAATGGCTTGAAAACGCAATTACCGTGTTCCACGAACCCACTGGCGTTTTCCACTGTTTTACTCAGTATTGTTTGTCATGGAGCGGAGAGGTTACAATACCTCTTAGACTGAGAGGACCGCGTATGCCCCGCCTAGGAGGCTGGTTGTAAGTAATTCTAGAAGCCGGTCGGTATGAGTGAGCCGGGGAGTAGGTGGCGACGCCCGAACGCCAATCGGCTTCCATACCACAGCCACCCACATCACAACGCCATTCCAAGAAAATGTGTTCTTTCAGTTTTCACCTTGATCGCAAAGCGGCCTCACCGAATCTGGACGGATGGTCCCTGGAGTTCAGCACTGGCAGGGGGGAAGAGGAGAGCCGATACCCTTATTTTTTGTAACCCCCCAGTTCTATCCGTTGCATGGTCTCTCTCCCGCCCCGCTGCAAGTCGTCTGGGGGTTGTCTACCAACGATACATCCCTACGGAGGTCCAATCCTCACGATCGCAATGTCCGTAATGACTGAGACACTTCACCGCTTTCTTGAGGTCCAGAAGGATGAAGTCAGGGCGTCCTCCGCCTTTCTGAGCGTGCGTGCGTCTTCAGGAGTTCATTGACATCTGACAGCGGCACCGTCCAAGCACGAAGGCACCGCCCTAGTCCAAGTCCAAGTCACGCCCCTCGGGCGCCACAGCGAACAGCGAACAGCGAACAGGGGGGCTGCTGGTTGAGACTGGAGAGGGAGAGGAGGGGGGATGTTCGAGCTGTCGGTCTCTGACTCTCTCAACCTCTTCCCCCTTAGCTTGTGTGACTTGACAGAGGAGGGGGACGGAGGGGGGAGAGACCGAGAGAGAGATCACCCATGGAATTGTACCACGAAGACGAAGTGTCACCGCACGCGCCGCGCCGCCTTCGTGATGTCGGTTGTCCGCCATGGACCGCTTCCGGGTGTGACGTGGTAACTCACTCAAATAACCCACGCGGGAAGACCCTTCTCTCCAAGACTCCAACAGCGTGATACCTAGGTGGACGATCAGAGATAGAGAGATTGGCAAGCATAAAAACAAAAACAAGAACAAGAACAAGGAATCGACTACGATCGACCCTGTCACTGCCAGTTTCCATGGACCATCTGACAACACCATCTTGCTCTCCTAGTGCGGCACCCGGCAGTGGTCAATGGTCATACTGGACTGGGCCTGCCGATCGTGGGGCAGACGAGGCCCGAACCAGGCAAACGTCGCCAAGGGAAGCCCACCCAAATTACCTCCATACGCAGGTAGAGGCAGTTGGTGGCATTGTCGTGCATGCCTAGTTTGATAGAAGCACCAAAGCAAGAGAGAACCGGTTCCCTTCGAAACGCTCGACACTGCCTTTGCCTTTTGTTCCACCAAGGGACATCTAACCGCGCAAGTCTTGTTTTTCTCTTTCGTTTCCTAAGCGGCGTACGAGCCGGTCTGCTTCATCTTCCGGCTCGTCTCCATCCCGTCCCATCTTCCTGACCCTCTCTTTTCTTCGTTCGTTCGTTCGTTCGTTTCTTTATTCCTTTCTTTCTTCACAACCTAAAATCGCTTCCACCCCCATCCTCTCGTCCACCGGCATAGGACGCTACAGTCTGCACACCCCTTCTGCCCAGGCACACGCATCCAAGCTATTCTCAACTGTCCTGCAGATTGTATCGGTGCTACCTTACCCCTACCTGCTGGGCTGCTGTCGCTTCGTCTGTTCGTATGTGCTTTTAATACCAAAGTCACCTGTCGGAACTTACCTTGCCTGCCCCTCTCTCTTCTTCCACCAGACCTTTTTTAGTTTGCAAGGGCCGAACGCCAGACGAACGGACGGACGCTTGTCGCGACGAACGACCTCGAACGAACGAACCCCACCCGCTTCGCTCCCTATCCGTTTGTCGTTCGTCTCCTAGTTGCTGGCTGCCGCTACCTACTCCTCTTCAAGGGGTGGTTTGTTTTGTTTCCTTTTCATGAGACGCTTTGCAGCAACGTACATCCCCTACTAAGACGCATGGCTTCGACCATACGGATCTTGCTTTCCGAACTCTCCTATCACGCAAACCAACGCTCCTCAGCTTGATACCAACTTGGTTGGCTCTATTACCAAAACACCCTAACCTAAACATAATCACAAGCCCACCGCCGTCGACCACAACTCCTGGCTGTTCCATTTGATATCTTTTCTTCTTCCGAACGTGCTTCCATCACCGCCGCTGCTACTGGGATTTCATTTCTTATTCTCATCCCTAACCTGACTTGAACCCCCGCCCAACCTACCACCTTTCAATTTAATTGCTCTTTTGTTTTTGTTTCATACGCCCGGGGGCGTTCACTCTCCCGCTAAGACCTGCGTACCACCCAAAAGAGAAGACTGGATGGCAAGAAGAGGCTTGACTCGTCCATCCATCGTCTTGTATTCTTGCTCTCGTTTGCCGCTGTTCTGAACAAGCCAAGGAAGTGAGAGAGCGGGAAATACTCGACTTCCCCCTACCATCTCGACCTGCCCATCTTCGTACACATCTTGACAATTCCCGACCTGATTCAAGTCATCTGGCCACCGGCCACACCTACTTGCCTCACAAAACAAACACCAACACCCGCACACCCGCACATGCACACACGCATACACCGCCCATCTTATCTTCGAATCCGGGGTTGGCGCCGACTTAATCACACTTGGAGTGTACCTTACACACACGACGGAAGAGCACATGAACGGGACGTTAGAGACCATCTACCGAGCAGAGACAGCCTTGCATAACACCCGAACAGGTCTCGTGTTACCTACGCATTATTAGACGGCCACCAACTTTGTCACTCTAATATTCTCCTTTTCTTTTAACATCCTCGTCTCTCCTCCCATTTTACACCTTTTCCTGTCTGTTTTGCCTCGGACGATATCATCAAAACGGACGGACCTTGTTAATACCTGTTCTCAACGTTCAACACCTAATTTTCTCTCTCACCTGTATGTTTTGGGCTTCTGTCACGTAGAGCGCAGACCTTCTCGAAGACACTCTCCCACCGACATTTTCTGCTTTCGGTCTTGGCTTGAGCATCATCTTCATTCCAAGATCAGCAACCGAGACCCTCAATCCCCGTTACGACGAACAAACCGCGAACGGTCACTGGATGGGTGCTTGGCCACACAATACTTCATAGGAGGAAACGGTCACCAACACCCGCTGCATACTCACAAATCGAAGCACACTGTTCGACTTGAGCAAATATCAACCTACCATATACCCGGACCAACATCCAAGGAGGGGAAGAAAGCGTACAAAATGTCCAACCCAACTCTCTCAAAGCAACAGCGCATCCAAGTCTGGCGTGAAGAGGTAGCGGCCTCAGCATCCCTTTGCACATGCCCGCCCTCCTCCCCAGCGGCCTCCGCCTCCTCAACAAACATTTCCCTCTCCGCGGCCTCCTCCTCGGCGTCCTCATCTGCATCCTCTCCGGGAGCAGGTGACGCCTTCACCTTCCCCCGTAGCGACATCTTGCCGGGGCAAGGAACATACTGCCCAACATGCTCCCGCCTCGGCGCCCCGTCCGCTATGGGTCTGGAGCCCTCGTCCGCCTACCTCGACCAGACGCAACCCGGCGCGGTTCTCCCCGGTAGCCACATCGCTCCGGGTATCTTCCGCGTAAAGACGGCCAACAACGCACTCTTCCGCGGCATGCGTAATTTTGTCCGCAAGCTCAGCGGGAGCAGGACAAGCGGGCCTATGCCACCCCGCGGCGCCGAGGACGCAACCAAGATGTACCGACGGGCAACTCTAGCCGGCTGGCCCACAGCCACGAATACGGCACTAGCCGCCGAAGCAGCGGCGGCGATGGCGGCAGGGGATGAACCAGACGCCGAAGACGCCGACTGCGCCGTTGACGAGGCGGACTCGGAGGGCCGGGGTCATGTGCCGAAGCTCATCGCCGAGAAGCAAGCGAGGCTCAGGAGGGCCGAGAGGCTGCTTGCGAGGACGAACGCGGGCCGTTAGAAGCGTACATGTACACGATGGAATACGAGAAAAGCAGGTGAACCGGGAAAGACGAGTGTGTGAAACGCATGGGAGTTGCGAATACCATGAGGCGCAGATCGGATTTTCCTCTTGGTTTTTGGTTTCTTGGAAATACGGAGGAGTTCTGGGGTATGGCTTTCTGGGCTGGTAGGCGTTTTTGAAATGTGCCATCCACAGTACATGGTTGTATTCTGGCATGTTCAGGAAATATTACCAGTGAATACCAATTTGTTCATGATTCTATACACCACCTGCCTGTTTTCTCAATGACGTATTAATCTAGTCGTCTGCTTGTCGGTATTTGACAGCCTCGTCACATCGTGGATAGGTCATGATTAGCCGTCCTGTTGCCAGTCATGAGATCTGCAGGTGTGCCCGTCACATGTTCCACAGACCTCCTCTGATCACCTCTCATCCCAAGACTCCCAAGGCTTCATTATCAAATCACAGCCTATTAGATCACAGCACGGCGTCGGACACATGTATTGATGAACATTTGTTATTTTCTTTTTGGTCTTGTAGACTGAATAGACAGGGGGCATTTGAGGGGGGCAAAAGGACTTTCTCTCCGTGAGAAGACGCGCGACAACTGAAGGACCACTATGAGGAAAACCGAAAAGAGAACACGAGACAGCCGTAAAACCATCCAGCACAGAGGTAAAAGCAGGAATCGAGGAGAACAAAAGAAGAGATTCTGAGCGTAGGCGGATATAGAGGGGGGAATCAGTAGTTGGTTGCCAAGTGGAATCCCTGAACAGAAACGAAGCTGTTCTAGACCCTGGTTGGACATCCAAGACACCAATAGAAATCATGCCACGCATTGTTCCTCTCTCCGCGTCCAATCCTCAAAAACCCCTCCCCTTTTGCTGCGAGACTCGGAGCGAGTCACCGATATTAGCCACCGATTTGGCGGCTAGACTGGGGCCGTCAGAAGGTCCGCATTTAGCGCATACCGACGGCCGAGCAGACGAGCCATCTCAGCCTCGTCGCGAGCCGAGATGGAGTGGTATCAGGGTAAGACAAGAATTTAGGAGGCAGCGGGGGTCTCCTCGGTGGCCTTGGGCTCCTCGGCCTTGGGCTCCTCCTTCTTCTCCTCAGCAGCCTCGGTGGTGCCGGCAGCAGCACCCTCAGCGTCGCCGCTGTCGGAAGAGGTCCAGAGAGTGAGGTTGTCACGCAGGAGCTGCATGATGAGGGTGCTGTCGCGGTAAGACTCCTCGGAGAGAGAGTCGAGCTCGGCGATAGCATCGTCGAAGGCCTGCTTGGCGAGGTGGCAAGCACGGTCGGGCGAGTTCAGGATCTCGTAGTAGAAGACGGAGAAGTTGAGGGCCAGGCCAAGGCGGATGGGGTGAGTGGGGGTGAGCTCGGTCTGAGCGACATCGGTAGCGCTCTAAAGGAGAGAGGGTCGTATTGTCAGATTCCATGTTCTCTGATACGGCAGCATTCAACCCGGATCATTCTCACCTTGTAGGCGTCGTGGGCAGCAGTGGCAGCACCCTTGCGCTTCTCGCCGGAGGCGAACTCAGCGAGGTAGCGGTGGTAGTCACCCTTCCTATTTCACGGAGTGCCACGGTTAGTTTCGGAAATTGGACCTTTGATCAAAACCGCCGGCAGCGGCGGCGACTGCGTCGGATAACGTACATCTTGTGGTAAAAGACCTTGGACTCGCCGGTCTGGGCGTTGGGGATAAGGCTGTCGTCGAGGACATCGAGGACATCCTGGCAGACCTGCTCGAGCTCGAGCTCGATCTTGGTGCGGTACTCGCGGATGGTGCCGACGTGCTTGTCGGTGCCCTTGCTCTCCTCCTTCTGCTCAATGGAGGAGATGATGCGCCAGGAGGCACGGCGGGTACCGACGACGTTCTTGTAGGCAACGCTGAGGAGGTTGCGCTCATCGACGCTCAGCTCACCGCCCAGCTTGGCGACCTCCTTCATGTAGCCAACCATCTCATCGTAGCGCTCGGCCTGCTCGCAAAGGCGGGCGAGGAAGGTCTTGCTGTAAGGAAAGGGTCAGTCAGAGAAAGAAAAAGTTCGCGAAAGACCTCGAGGCCAGATGGTTGTGGTTGATGGGACGTAGTCAATCGACGTCGAAGAGGGCTCGGCACAAACCTTTCACGCTAGAAGAGGGGCACAAGTCAGCATACTTTGTTCCCGAGGCGGGCGATAGGAGGCCTGAGTTATTTGAAAGGGGAGAAAGAAGGCCGCCGGGGTCGGAGAAGCCGGTCGAGGCAAAAATGGCATCGATCGCAGGATTCAGAGCTGTGGATCAAGGATCGCATTATGGGCATCTTCGTTGCCGTGACACAGGCAGGCAGGGCAATCGAGGGGCTCCGGAGGGGTTTTGGGGTGAGGTTGTGTTGGGCAGCGTGGGGGAAAAGGTACTTACATCGCCAGACATGTTGAACTCTTGGATTGAGGTGATGAGGATAGGTTGAGGTGGTTTGGTAGAAAATTAAAGAAGGCGGGAATGGATACTGCGAAAGGCGTGCAACGGAGTGGTGAGAAAGTTGACGCGGCTTTGTTTTGTTGTTGAAGAGTGGAAAAAGGTGTGCGGTGGGAGAAGGAGGGAAGGCGGAGGGAGTGTTTACGTGTGACGAATTATTTTGGGAGAGGGGGGGAATCTCAAAGGGAAGTTGCGAGGCCAGTCCAGTGAAGATTTAATTGGGTTGGTCCAAGTCCCAAGTCCCAAGGTCGTTCTTTCCCTCCCAGTCTTCCACCAAAGGTACCTGCCTACCTACCCGACTACCTTACCTTAGCTAAGGTAGCCTTAGGGAGGTGCCGCCCATTCACCCCCTCCGCCTGCGCACGTTGGGGTCACCTCTTTGGTACCTTACCCTCATATTTCTGCTGCTTGCACTTGAGCTCACATTGCTCTGTTTCGGTAAGACAAGGGACATGAAGTCCTTGGGTTCCATAGCACCAGATATTGCAATTCCTATCTGAGAATAAGGTATGTGGTTTCATTCTTCATCCACCTTGTTCTCTCGATACAGTGTAGGCACCTCCATTGCAGTGCCCTTCTCTGTGCTGTAATTAGTCGACTGAGCTTGCCTGCCCTGTGCCTGCTGGCTGCACCTGCCGCTTCGACCCCACTATGTTCCCTTTTCTCCCCTCCCCTCGCTTGCCTGCGGCTTGGCCCTTCTGCGTTGGCCTGTGCTGGGAGAGAAGAACCCTGGAATTGGATTGGAATGGACGGATCGAGTGAATTGGATATTGCTGTGGACGTGGTCAGGCTCTCGGGGCTCGGGGACTCTGGCAAATGGGCCCCCAGGGCATGGGCGTGTTCCCATTTGGCGGGAAGGGAAGAGAAATGGGGACGCTGGGCTGGGCTAGGCTCTCCATCATCAATATTTTAGGCCCCAAGATACTTCGCCTTGCGTGCCTCGGACAGTTGAGAAAGCACCATCTGGCCCAAGGTACCAAGGACTGGTGAATGGACTATGCCCACGTGGCGAGGCAGTGAAAGCGGTTTTCTGCTATCGTACGTTCCCCTAGTTATCATCACCCTATCTTTGCATTCGTTGCAATCCGTACTGTATATTCAAAGTACCAGGGCTTCACATACGTATTGTGAGTGAACGGGAGAGCATCAGAGAGACAGGAACCGGACGGGAAAGTCAACCTGAGTTCCATTTGCATGTGGTGAGGTCCGCGTTTCTGGTGGAGAGCGGCCCTGAGATTAGCCTGCCCACCGAGCCCATCAAAGGCATGATTCCGCTTCCAAAGAACCAGGCTCATGATGTATCTCCCTGGTCCACAACTGACGTCCATCCGGTTGGCCTGGGCCGTGTATGTACCGCAGAAGTACTCCCAGAGTTCGTACCTCGACGCTTGAACAGCAACTCGAGCGAACAACTGCTTTCTGATAACAACGAGTCTCTTAACATCCCTGGAATATCACTTGCTTCATGGTTGAAAGTAGTATTCAAAGAGCCTGAAACCGTCCCTTCCGGGCTATTGGCAAATTACCGATGGGATGGATCAGTTGCCCATTTGAGCTTCAGAGCTATCTTGAGGCCGCTCAGGTAGGAATGGGAATCTTGATGGAAATTAGCAACACAATGACCTCTTCAGGCCAGGAAATTGCACAGTAAAGGCTGGAACAGAAGAAGAAGAAGAAATGAGCTCGCAAATGAGTCTGCCAGAAGGGGGGGACTCGGGGAGGGTTCAGGTCGCTCAGATAACTCCGGTGAAGGTCATTTGCTTTTTGGCTTCTTGAGTGCGAGCTCCAGCCTCGAAATGCTGCGCGTGTGGTGGGCAGTTGGCCAGCTCAGCACAGCACAGCATAACACAAGCATAGGAACATCCTAAATACTGGCTGCTGACTGGCTGACTTGGTTCTCGGGGCGAGCCCCACCCTCTCCATGCATTTCCCCGCTCCTGTTTTTGCGACACGCCCGCCATGTACGTATCTTCTTCCCTGACCACAACAGCTTTTTTTTTTCTTTTTCGGAGTCTCGTGATTCTTTCCTTCTGGTGATACCGTGATTCTCTCCCGTTCCAAGCGCATCCACGCGTGATGGTGTCCGCTGGCCCTTACCTCACCACACACCCTGCAGTCTCTCCATCAACGGACAGCCCGCTCCCCTCAGTTCACCTCTCACCTCCGTCGCTGGATACTTCACTTCAACTTGTTGCCGCTTGCTCTACCCATACGAATACCCAGCACGAGAATGGCGCAACTTCTAGTGCAGCAACACAATTCAACAGGCCACAGGCGCCCAATGCCAGGGTCTGACGGATCTCAGCAAACGATATCTCGTGGCACTCGCTGTTCCAGAACCCCATTTGGATTGGGCCGTGTCTCGAATCAACTACAGTGCTTTTCTGATGGCTTACCTCATCTCGCCGAAATGCCCGAAGACGCGCATCAAATGCCATCCCAAGTTGTCTCAAACTCACATAATCCATACCTAGCTTGTGAGTCGTCCTCAACGACATCTACTATCTAACCGAATTTCTCTCTTTTCGTAGTCTGTTACCCAGTTGCTAAATTGGACTGAATCTCTCGTGGTTGGAGACAAGGGAAATCATCTGACACACAAGATGAAGAGGTAATAAGCGTTATTGCGAGCGTCAAAAGACCCTGGGCACCAGCCCACTGGATTCAGATTGCACACTGGATATTGGAGATTGGAAGTCGAAACGGCGAGTCGGAATCCTACAACGACCTTGTAGCCGTCGACACCAGCTTCTACGCAGTACATTTGATGTCTTGCTTTTGGGCCAATCGTTGTCAGTCATGGTTTCGCTCCACCGTCTCGTTCAACAGTCTGCGTTGCCTCGCAGAACCCGGTGCCTCTTTGCCGAGAGCAGCAGCCACCCGGTCGACTAAGCCACGACCCCCTCCGGTTTACATTGCCGCCTGACCACGATGGTATCTTCTTATTTTGGTCTTCATCTACTCGTGCCAGTCACTACAAGATGCTCCGTCTGTGGCTCTCCCTGCGTTGTTGTTGCGCTCGCGCACATGCTTGTCGAGAGCGCTGTGCTGTGTCATGCACGAAACCACCTTGCCCACCCGCTTACGCCCAATCTGCAAAATGTCCGATCGTTCATCAATCTGCTGTCGTGTCTTTCTAACTTAAACCCCAAAGAAACCGGTTTCAACTTCCAACCCAAGGGATGATCCCCCGTTGGATCAGCGTGCCATCCGCCATCCCCGGCTTGTCTCCTCGTAGGCCCAGAGGCCCTGCGAGTGAAACGTGAACCACAGCGACTAATACTGCCATCATAATGTACGGAAACAGCAAACTCACGTCAACCCAACTCCGCCTGCGAGACGAAGCAGTCTTTCTCTATGGCCGAACATAGATAACTATCACACTCTGAAATCTAGTCCCCCAATCTCTCGGCAGCCCTTCTCGTCCCAACTTCGAAGCCAACCACTGCCACCACACCAACTCGATGCCATCATATGTAGCTTTCGGGTGGGTGACTCACATCCAGCACAGCCCTGGGGGGGGGGGGGGGATCCTCCATGCAGTCGGGTCGAACAGGCGACTCGCATGGGACATGCCCTTGGCCGCCGCCTTATCGCGTGGCACTCTCTGGGCGGGTGCCGTTGGTGGGTGTGGCAGCACTTGCAGGCTGCATCTTAGGTTCTCTCTCGTAGAGAAAATATTCCGCGATCCCCAGTATCCGTACGCGATTTCGACCACGGCCGTGCTTCTTTACCCGTCGACGTCAAGTTTATGCCACGGCCCCCTTTGCGAGCCATGCTCCCTCCTCGCTGGTGTACGGAGTAGCTGCTTTTCCTTTTACCCCTCATCTCTCGCCCTGGTATCCCTTCCCTTCTCTTTTTGCTCGCTCACCCGCCAAATTCCAAGTGACAGTGTCATGAATGCCCGAACCCGGAAGTGCGGACAAAATTCATGCGGAGGGCAAGCCAACCTGGTCATGGAAAACCCGGGAACCCACAACTGTGAGCAACGAACACTGAGCAGTGTGGGAACTGTAGTAGCTGGACTTAAGGGAGAGGAGCCGGTAGCCGTAAGGTTTAATTAAGTAAGCACTCCAAGCCAACAAGGCTCAAGCCAAACCCAAGGATCCAACGAAGCGATCTCTATTACCTACTCAACCGGGGCTGTTCCCGACTTTCGCATAATCTTCAGTCCAACGGTTTATACGTGACCGGCTGTGGCCCTCCTTGAAAGTATTCTATCTAAGTATCTGTGTGTAATCCACAGAACGGCGAATTTTTAATAACTTTGAAAAGAACAGTCTCTTTTGGACGTGTTAGAGAGATATATAGCAATGGCCCATATAAAATCAAACAATGTCTGTTGTTTTTGCCCCTTGACTCTGATGGCGTGATAAACCACAAACGAACATCATCCACCCAGCGGAACGTAAGCCGAGTAATGCCTTTTTTCTCAAGTCATCATGGATGGCTCCGTGGCAGATGCTGATTCGTAAGGTAGATAGATGATGGTGGTCGGCAAAACGACTCAGGCTTTACTAGTTTGTCACGACTCAAAACATATCAGTCGAGAATTATTAAACGTAATATTTTATATTCATGATATTTTCGTGTTTACCGTGCTGCTCAATCTGATTTATGTCCAGGTTACTCAGAAACGAAAGCCAAAGAAAAAAACGCCCGCTAGTTGCCATACAGGCGCTATACAAGTAACCAACCGCAGCATTTTCAGAAACCCCTTCAGCCTAACTAGTACTCGTACCCATACTATCACATTTGAATACACTTGTTATACGACAGCCCGAAGGTTGATTCGGGGCTCACAGCTCTTCTGACAGCAAACTGTCATGGCCACCTCCATATTTGTCTCTCCCCCAATTCGCCGGATCGCCGCCGGGCATACACAGCCCGAGTCTCCAAAAATAGTCCCGGTGCGCAAAGAGCAGCTGCCAAAGCTTCAGTCGAGCCGGGAAGCCCGGTAGCCTCTTGATCCATCTGCTGGTCTCCTCAACGAGTCCCTTTGGCGGTGCCAACGTCGATTTCGCAGCAACTTCGACAAAGTCTTTCAGCCTGGATCCGAAGAAGCTATCGTCCGCCTTCGTGATGCAGCTTCCGTCGCTGTCACCGCGACAGGCCACGACGTCTTCCAGAGACGGAGACAGCTCTGCCTTGGAGATATAGAACTCCCCGGCGTGAGGCTTGTACCCCCACTCTGTAAGTGGGAGCAGCGGCACTGGGTCGTCGGCGTGGGTCACGCGACGGTAGGTCCGCTTCGAGATGTCCTCGTCCTTTTCGCCCTTCAAACCAAAGACCTCGTCGACATAGTCTACAAGACCCTGATTGCCGACCTTGGGCTCACCAAAAGTCGTGACTCTGACATTGTCCCAGCCAAGGGAGATCTTGAGCTCGAGAGATGCGAGCATGGCAACAGCGCCACCGAGACTGTGACCGACCAGGTGAATGGGATAGTCCGGGTATTGCTCCCTCAGCTTCTTCACCTCTGGAATGACTAGCCTCCGCGCCTGGCGCCACGACGTCAGGAAACCCATGTGGACGGTGCAGTCTTTGCACTTGCGTTTGGGCTCATTGGGTGCCTCGCCCCCTTCATCGGGAGATGGATACGGTACATATTCCTGCGGGATGGTGCTTAGGTCGACAATCGTGTTGGAAATACTGTAGGTACCCCGGAAGGCGATGATGATAGCCTTCTCCCCGACCTTGCCATTAAACCTGTCCTCATCGCCAGGCCTTCGAACGCCGTGGTCGACGGCAATGTAGCCGCAGCTGTCGCTCAGCAGGACACCCGTGTTCCAGGTCGAAACGAGCGTGAAGGAGGGAAACTCCTTGCAGCGCGAGACGCACGAGAAGGGCTGCGATATACCCGTGGTGCCGACGCAGTAGGTGATGTCGACTATGCGCGACGTGCGCTCGAGGGATCGGAAGAGCTCGACGGAGATAGGCAACGGGGGTGCAGCATGCTTGGTGTCGTTGCTCGATAGTAACGGTTGCTGCGGCTGCGGCTGCGCGGTGTCAAACGGTGTCGCTGAAGCTAGGCCAACCAGTGGCGCAAGCTGTAAGCAGGAGAGGAGATATCGCATTGGAGGGAGCATTCTGTTCCGTTTGGGTTGGCGATCTTGTCTACGTCCCTTTGAAATTGCAGGCTATGATCGATCGCGCAGGCTGATAGACATTGCGCAGAGAAGTGTTTAGTTTGCTCAATGTAAGGTGACCATCCAGGTTGAGCAACGTGGATGGATCCAGCTTGAAGAGAGACAGCGACGGTGGTAGGAATTGGCTGTTGAGGGTTCGATTTATGATCGTGACGATTTCGACAATGTACCACGTTTAACGGCAGGGAAAGCCTCAAAGCGTGACCCTTCAAAGGCGCATGATGACGATTGCACCCATGCAGGTTCCTACTAGATTAGGTATTTTGTTGAGACGGATGTGAATGGTGCGTATGTTCAACGATGTACTCGTATTACCTAGGGTACTGAAGGGTGGATGGAGAGAGGAGAGAGTTGGACGGGATACCGACGTCTCAGGGCTGATCTCGTGAGGGTGACCGCGGTGAGGTCATTCCGTCATCCAGAGAGAAACCTGGAGCGAATTGAGGGAAGCGGCAGTGAAGAAGGTGCTAAGCACGGCGTGCCTTCCATGCAAAATGCGGAGAGGCGCGGCCAAGCGACGCTTGCCGACAAACGGTTGGTCCTGGGTGGCCCTCTTCCCCTGTGGCTGCCGGGGAAGGACCTGGGATTGTGCTGTCATCCCCCGCGAAAAGCTGTCAACGGGGCGGGTCTTCTCACCCTCTTGAAGTCCTGCTGACCCTTTGGGACCTGAATGTTGAGAACAAGTGTGGATGACTTCAATTTCCATCATCTCATGCGCAATGTGGATAGAAGCCTAGGTCTATTGCTTATTCTATTCGGGAGTTGTCGTGTCTTCATTACGAATAACTTTCATTTTGCTTTTCCTCTCATCAGGAAAGGTTCTGTTTAGGGCCTACCATCTGTAACTGTAACCCAAGAACCTCTCAGCGTGTGCTCACTCATGTATGTTTCATCATCCATGAACACTGTCATGGCGTCTCTTTTTGTTTGCTTTTTTACGTTCATCCCATGATTACTCTCCTCCGCCCTCTCAACCAACCGGCTGGATGCTGAAGAATCTCGATCGGATGTCGTCCGAGTTGGACTTGCATGCAACGGCTGCCCTCCTTGCACGCCTGTGTGACCTGGCGGCATTGCCCGTCCCGTTCGCGGCACCTCCGTCGCACACCAACGGAACCGCGGCCGTCCCGGAAGCCTCGTAGTCGGCGGCACTAAGCGAAACATGTCAGCACGTTGAACATGGGATTTCTTCACAGCTCAGCGTGTGAAAGAAGAACAGTTGACTTACCCGTCGTCACCAGGGCAAACCTTCTCGATGACTGTGATCGTGCCATTCTGCCAGATGAATTGCACACTAGCGTTGTCGCAAGCGTACCTCGGTGTCCGCCCGTCACCGGACACCGGTACCGATGAGGCGTTGAGGTGGCACTGCGTGTTGAGAACGGTGCTGTCGTCGTTGAAGGTAAAGTCGAGCGAGTCCGCCGTCTTGCCATCCGCTGATTCGGCGGTAAAGTTTTGGATCTGGAAGTCATCGGGTAGGTTGCAGTCTTCTGATGCCTCGACCATGGCCATGAGCTTGTCGGGAACGGCTGACATGTATGAGACCGCGGCCTGTGCCGCGGGGACGGCAATGAGGAGGAGTGACAGCTTCATGGCTTGCGTGTGTTTTGGTTTACGAGCGCGGTATGATCAAGGATTGTAGGTATGCTTTTCTAGACAAAGAGTGCCAACGTTAGAGGAAGAGATAAACGTTCCAACAATTGAGGAGGAAATGGAAAGACTGGAAAGATGGGATGATCAGAGGTCAAGGACTATGCTGATCTAGTAGTCTTGCTGACAGCTGCTTCCCAGATGAACCTTTATTAATAAGGTCCGATTTAAGCACAGGATCACAGACCTAGCAGATCTTCTATGCTGTTCCTTGCAGGAAACCGCTATTCAGGGGTGGCTACGATGACATGGCTAAACTCTCATTAAGGGCGAGAGCAATACGCAGATCCTGATGTAATTGTCCGAGCCGCCCGCGTTAACAGGATGGCTGAGGTGCAGGCGGTTGGCCTCTTAGCTCCATAGTAGGGGAGAAGGGCATTCCCAGCCCGCCATTAAAGATGGACTCCAAGGATACTTTAGTAAAGAACTTACGAGTGGCCTTAATGCAGCATATACGAATGGTAGCAGTACACTAGTAGCGGTGATGCGTGGGAGGTTGACGCTCGTCGGTTGGCATTTTTGGTCCTTATTCAGGGGAAGTATTGGGCCTGATTGGCTCCTGCGTGTTTCATGTTTCCCAGCATGGCATCCTGCGCTGGTCCACGCCTGGGCTGCTGATCACATCTGAGATCCCCCTTTCTTGGAAGCGGACGCCAACAGCCAAACGACGGCTAAGTTGGGTAAACGTAGATCTGCCCCACTGCCCTTATTGCCTTGCTTCTCCAAATCCTGTTCAGCCTGACATAGGTGGACGGCACTATTCTGTCAAGGGACGTACGAGAGGCTGTGCTCAGGGGGCTGGGGCTCCATAGTCTTGAGTAAGGTACGACTGTGGCTTCAGTGCATGAGGGGTCTGAAATTCGAGGGACTTGGACAATGGCCCCATACTGTAAGGGGGAAACAAGTGATGGAGTGAACAGGAAAGCTTGGACGGACGATCCCGATCCGCGGCTCTGCTGCCAGAGTGAGCACTTTGGCTGGCTGGCTTAGCCAGGCCGTTGAAAGAAGATACAAATGTATCAGGCCCGGCGTGCATCCTCTCTGGCTCGTGTTGGCTGAGCTCAGGTACAGATACGAGATGCATGCAATGGGTGAGTCAAGTTACCTAGACATAGCTTGGACGCAGCCTTCGGTTCCAGAACCGTACCTTCGTAACTTACGGATACACGGCGAGCTGGTTGTATGGGAAAGTCAGTGAAGTGGAAGTGAAGCGTAGAGAATCAGCCGTCAAACCAGTGCTGAGGCTTGCGTCCCCATGATGGGCACCACCACCGGCCGTATCTTTGTAAGACGTTGTCTTGACCAACTCCCAATTGCTATTTCCCCTCAATGCTGCCTACCTTGACAAACATTCACGTAAGGGAACCATCCTGTTCTGTACCGATAGACGTGTGCCTCATCGAGGCGTTGCAATGGGAAGAGATTAATCCGTAGAATAGAGAACATCTCGGGGTATTTCGTCTTCTAGAAATGGAAGCCAATCAGAGCCTATCGGTGATAATCCAGCCAACCTCTCTCAAGGACTCCACCACCTTACCCAGCCCGGCCCGCAGAAGCCCCCATAAAATCCAACGACCTGCAGCCTTTGACAAACCCCAAGCCACGTGACCGCACAAACCCACCCGCCGAAAATTCCCAATCCGCCATTGCAACTTTTTTTTCGTAGTCGAATGGCTTTTTTGGCTCTTCCCCCTCCGACCATCACGACAATACTAACCCGACAACCCACCCGTCATCCAGCATTCAAGATGGCCAAGGAAGCGCCCGTCAAGACCGGTCTCATCACCGGTCTCAACCATGGACACGTATGTCGAACCATTACTACCACCGCAACCATCACCGCCGCCGTCCCGATCTGAGAGAAAAGCCCCTCCGAAATTCTGCGAAACGAAATCTTCGAACTTCCGATTATGGAAATACGATTCGATGATGGATACACACATTGAAGAATGAACACACAGAAGGATGGGCTTTTCTGTCAAAAAGGGAAATCGGCGGCACTGTCCCCTCTCCCCCACACCCGCTTCGTCTCACCTCGTGGAGGATCTCTGCACAACACCTCTCTTCCCACGAGGGGACCTTATTTGCAGAAGATGGACGCTGACCGGTCGTGATTCTTTCGGAAATATAGAAGACCACCGCTCGTGTCGTCAAGCCCCGTGTCTCCCGCACCAAGGGCCACCTGAGCAAGCGCACCGCTTTCGTCCGTGACGTCGTCAAGGAAGTCTCCGGGTAAGTTTCCATCCACACACCATCTCCATGTGTCGTCCACATTATATAGCCCTGGACGCACTTCACATCCACATCCAAACCGGACAACAAGTCGCTAACCATATCCCTCCTCCACAGCCTTGCCCCCTACGAGCGCCGCGTTATCGAGTTGCTCCGCAACTCCAAGGACAAGCGCGCCCGTAAGCTCGCCAAGAAGAGGCTCGGCACCTTCGGCCGTGCCAAGAGAAAGGTCGAGGAGATGACCCGCGTCATCGCCGAGTCCCGCCGTGTCGGCCACTAAACGATTTTCTTCTTCGAAAGGAATTCGTCAAAACCAAAATGGGGCGCAACGGGGCTGTTGTGTTGGACTGGCAAACTACTGGGTTTATATGGGTCAAGGGCGTGGTCACAGCATAAAAGTTTGTGGTCTATTTCTAAAAACAAATCAACGGAAGACTCCCCCGTATCATCATGGAATGATGATGCCTTTACGACAAATACCAAAATTTCAAGCACAACTCATTGCTGCCTCAGACTCTTTTCTTTGACACTGTTCATGTTCCGTTCGCTCTGGAGTGATCATATGCTCTCGTGAAGGCTCTGATTGACGACTTGACCATAGTCTATCTGGTTTACCCTATGCCCCATGAAACTCCAAACCCATGAATACGCTCGCCATGCGAAGATGGCCGAGTAATGCTGCAACATTGTACAAAAGATGATCCGTCTATTTCTTTCCAGGCAGCTTGAGCCACTTGGGAAGTTTCTTCGCAACGCTGCCATCCCCACTTCCCTCCCTCTTCTCAGGTTTCGACGACGAAGCAACAGTCTGCTCCTCATTCGTGTCGTCGCCTTTGGGAATGTCCGGTACTGTGACATCCTGAGCCTTTTGAGCGACGCTACCCTTGAGGAAGGGCTTCTTGCGGATATCTACCGGCACGCTGTCATCCCAGACCAGACTCAGTAACACACTACGCGTGAGCTTGTAGTCGTGTATCAAGCGGTTCTTTGCGCTCTCATCATCCTTAATCATGACCTTGCTGCCGGGTATGACCAGCTTGAAGGGTTGAGTATTGTGTGCCATGACAGATCTCACGCCCTGGTGGAGGGTCGCCCCTGTAGCTTCATGGCCAAACGTCCATTGTGCTGAAGTGTTGTCGGGAAACCGCACCTTCATCGGAACTGTGGTGACAGCCGCTAGACGGGCTTCCTCGGCCTGTCTTTGCGCCTCCAACTCTTTGTCGGAAGGAAGTCTCTTGTTGAGCGCGCTCTGCTGGAGTCGAGCCTGATGAAGCTGGGCGTGGGCAATTGTCGGGGCGTAGTCGTCCTCTGGCACGTCTGCAAGGGCTGCCGCGGGAGTGGTTCCGCTTGGTGCCCGGAAGACGCTGACAGGCTGCAGAGGGTCTGTCGGCTCTGCTTCATCAACCTCCATGGCATCTGCTGCCGGCGCCTCCTGATCTGCTTGTTCTTGCGTTGGAGTGCCGCCTGGCTGTCCAGCCGTTGTGCCCTTTGGCGTCTCGATGGCAGTTTCAGCTGCTGTAGACTCTGTTCCCTCCGTGGCGGGCGCCGGAGCTGGAGCAGTGGCCGCCTTCTTCTCCTCTGCCTCAACTTCAGAAAAGAATTGGCTGATTTCCTCCATAGCCTGGAACAGCGTGCGGTCCGTCTTTTTGAACGACAAGCGGATCAGCACGCTGCCCGAATTGTATCCAAGTTGCGACAGTGTCTTCTGGAAGTCCTCAAACGTGGAAAGCTCCCGACCCATGATGTTTAGGACTGGTGTCTCGTAGTACATCTGACCGCTTCCACTCGCGCCTCCGCTTGTTGTTTGCGCAACGCCCCGTGCTGTGATGTTGAAGTTCTTCCCATTCCCAGCGACGCCGCTCTCAAACTGGCGCAGTACCTTCCATATCGTAAAGTCGCTAGGTAGTTTCTCGATTAAACGGCCGTTGGGCGCCGAGTTGGCTTCGGGCATCGGCAACTGGAGTGCGACGGAAACGGCTGATGGTGTCTTGGACTTCTGGACGAGCTCGAGTTTGGCGCCGGGGGTGAGACCGCTCACTCGCCAGACTACTGAGAGGTCGACTGTCTTCTGCTTGTGCCTAGCAGATGGTTAGCTTACTGCGAGGAAGGATGGTCTTCAGGGATGAGTAAGGTACTTCAAGAGGTATTTGTCGCTCGAGACGTTGAGCTTCTTGCATGCCTCTTGGAGAACATCTGTCATGTAGGTGCCTGGGCTGACCTTGACAGTAGCTCTCCGCAAATCCGTGCCGATGACCACCACGTGCGACATCGTAGCAACCGAGAGAAGCCGTGGGCGAAAACACAGTGTCTTATTCTTTTCAACAAAAAGACGTATTCAGTCGTAGTGAAGTTGCTGTTCGGTAGAGATTGAAATCCGATCCGGGGTATCGTGTTCAATATGTTGTTGGCGGGGTTCAAGTCTCGGCGGGGGGCGGGCGTTGCGTCAAGCTCAGGTGGTGGTGTATTAGTTACGTAGAAGTTGGCGGAAGGACGACGAAACACAATGTCAGGAAGTCCAGTTCGGCCTGATGTCCGGGACAAGTGTATACTGGACGTTTTCAGCCGGCCTTAAGTAAAACCTTGTGTATAGGTAATAATATGTAGAAATAAGAAGCTACGGACAGTAAACAATCGTTTCTTAGTTGAATCGTCAAGGTGAATGAGTCTTACTCAGGTACAGGTAATTCAGGGAGGTACGTAAGGCTGGGAAGCAGGCAGTCAGGGTGCTCCGTCAGCAGAGGCGACGGGAGCCGGGCCCTGGCCGGGGAGGGGAGGTGGGACGTGCATCATCGAGCACCACCACGCTGAAAGCTGCTGAAGCCAAGCTCAGGCCAATCAGCGAGCTCCAGCTTGCTGTACGTGGATTTTCCGACCGCTTCGGCCGCGCCATGCGTGTTTGCCTTGCCCTGCAGTAGCACCCAGCACCCAGCAAGAGCAGGCAGGTAGCGCTACACCTCAGCATTCCGCATCGGTTCAACGTCAATTGCAGCTACAACCACCACCATCACCACCAAACGAACTCCCCATCTACGACGACGACGCCCCTCACGGCCGACCCTACGATCCATCACGAAATAATCACGGCCAAAACCACAACCTTGAGAATCTCTCAAACCATACCAGAACCCAGCGGTCACTCGCTTTAAGAGCCCGAAATGGTGCGCTTCCGTCATTCCCCCTCCCCTCCTCAGCCTCGAGATGCAAAAGGAAACCCCCTCCAGCTAACCAAAGTCCCAGAGCTCTCCCTTCTCCATCAGTTTGTCTTCCTCTTAACCCCCATATAGGCCCCATCTTCTCTCTATCGAATCACCAGTTCCTAACCTCCTCTCCCTCTCAGATGGCGGTGCTTGCGTCGCAATGGTCGGCAAGGACTGTGTCGCAATAGCCTGCGATCTCCGTCTCGGCCTCCAAGCCCTCACCGTCTCCAACAACTTCCCCAAAATCTTCCAGTACGGCGACGTCTTCCTCGGTCTCACCGGCCTCGCCACCGACGTCACGACCGTCGGCGACCTCTTCCGTTACAAGGTCAACATGTACCGCCTCCGCGAGGAGCGCAACATCGCCCCGACCACCTTCGCCAACCTCGTCAGCTCCTCCCTCTACGAGCGCCGCTTCGGCCCGTACTTCGTCTCCCCCGTCGTCGCCGGCCTTGACCCCAAGACGGGCAAGCCCTTCATCTGCGGCTTCGACAGCATCGGCTGCATCGACTTCGCCAAGGACTTCATCGTCTCTGGTACGGCGTCTGAACAGCTGTTCGGCATGTGCGAGAGCTTATGGGAGCCGGATCTGGTACGTGGCATATGGCGAATCAATGATCCAGGAATTCTAGCAGAAACTAACGTGGACGTCACACAGGGCCCTGATGAGCTCTTCGAAACCATCTCCCAGTCGCTCCTGAACGCCGTTGACCGAGATGCACTATCCGGATGGGGAGCGCACGTGTACATTATTGAGAAGGACAAGGTCACCAAGAGACTGCTCAAGGGCAGACAAGACTAATTCTTGCGGAGGAACTCGGTGTTGAGGAAGAGAAAACTTGATAGAACCGCTACAAGTGGACGGGTTCTACCTAGCTTGTACCAATAGATGGACGTGATCCACTATGAGATGGCTGCCGAAGCCTGCATGAACTAGACAAATGACCTTGATTTACATCCTTATTTGTGACTTTAATGCCTGGACGTTGGCTGCTGTGGTCTATGTACAGCTCTGTGCAATGTTGCCAGGGCTACTACTATGGTACAAGTGATCTATGGTCTAGCTTTGGGCTGGCCTCTAACCATCTAATTCTCCTTCTTTGCCTTGGTAGACTTGATCGCCTTCTTCTGACTGAAGTACGATCTCTCAATAGCCTTGAGGACCTCATCAATGAGACTAGAAAGAACAGAGTCAGCAACAGTAGATGAGCGAGCGAGAACGATGGTCGACTTACATAACAGGGGCGCTGATGTACAAGACCGCCTTCCACTCCAACCAGTTCAAGGGAAGGATGGAGAACAGGTTCTGGAGGAAAGGAGTGTAGAGCAGGGCGAAGTGGAGAGCCATTGAAAGAGTAATGGCATAGACAAGCTTCATGTTAGCCCAAAGAGGCAGGGACAGCAGGGACTCGCTCGAGGACAGCGCGTTCATGGCGTTGAACATCTCGATGACGACCAGAATGGAGAGCGAGACGGTCGAGGCGGACTTGGCGGAGCTGTTGGAGAACATCTGGCAACCAATCTCAGGGAAGTCTGCAGAGCAGCGGTGGAAACGGGAGAGGTGGTAGAAGCTGATCTGAGGACCCTCGGGGTTGTACATGAACCACCAAGCATAGCCAGCGACAGTCGCAACACCAACGTAAGTACCAATAACCAGGTAGCGGAAGAACAACCAACCGCCGATGAGAGGCTCGTCGCGCTTTCTGGGCTGGCGCTTCATAATGTCGTGGTCAGGAGGGTTGAACGAAAGAGCGGTGGCGGGAAGACCGTCGGTGACCAAGTTGACCCAGAGGAGCTGGACGGGGATCAAAGCCTCCGGCATACCGAGAGCGGCAGTGAGGAAGATGGAGACAACCTCACCAATGTTGGAGGAGATCAGGTAGCGGATGAACTGCTGGGTGTTGTTGTAGATGGAACGACCCTCCTCAATAGCAACCTCAATGGTAGCAAAGTTGTCATCGGCGAGAACCATGTCGGCGGCGAGCTTGGAGACATCGGTGCCAGAGCCCATGGCGACACCGATATCAGCCTTCTTGAGAGCGGGAGCGTCGTTGACACCATCACCAGTCATGGCGACGACCTCTCCCTGTTGCTGGAGAAGGTCGACAAGCTTGGACTTATGGCTGGGCTCGACACGGGAGAAGAGGGATGCGTTTCGGGCAGCTTCGTTTGCCTCGCTGTCGCTCAGGTTCTCAAACTCTCTGCCAGTGAAACTCTTGCCCTTGAGGTCTTCATATTCGTCAAAGACACCAATCTGTCGGCAAATGCTCTCAGCGGTGTTGCGGTTGTCTCCAGTGATGACAATGACACGAATTCCGGCGTTCTTGCAGTGGCGGATGGAAGCGGCAACTTCCGGACGAGGAGGATCAAGCATACCAACCAATCCGAGGAAGGTCATGTTCTGCTCAATCTGGGCGTACTGTGCGGTAGACTTGGCTGACTTCAAGGCGGGGTTCTCACCAATGTTGTCGACGCTGGCGAGGGCGATGACACGGAGACCACGGTTACCGTAGTCAACAACTTCCTTGGCGATCAAATCGGCGAGCTTGCTGTTCAGGGGCTGGCGCTTTCCGTTGGCTCCAACAAGAGTGTGGGTGCAGCGTTCGAGGACAGACTCAGGAGCACCCTTCACCAGGAGCTTCTTCTCTCGGCCGTTCTGAACAAGGACAGACATGCTCTTGCGATCTCTGGAGAATTCATAGGTAGACAGACGGGGGAGCTGGCTCTCATACTGAGAGCTGGCGTAGTGATGACAATCCTCGGGGTTGCTGTTGGAAGGCGCACACGGTCCAAGCTTCTCAACAAGAACTCTCAGAGCGCCCTCAGTGGGCTCACCGACGTTGGAGAAGGTACCCTTGGCCGCATCGTAGGCGAGCTTGGAATCGTTGCACACGGCGGCAACCTCAGTCATCTGGCGGACAGTAGCAGAAGAACGTGTAAGATCGGTGACCGTCTGGCCTCTGAGAGAGATAGAACCCTTGGGGGCAAATGTGGTGCCTTCGACATCGTGCTCAACGAGGTCTGATCCGTTCTCGCTGATGTAGACAAGCTTGCTGACACTCATCTGGTTGGTGGTGAGGGTACCGGTCTTGTCGGAGCAAATGACGCTGCAGCTTCCAAGGGTCTCCACGGACGGCAAGCTTCTGACGACGGCATTCTTTGCAGCCATCTTGCGAGTTCCAAGAGCCAAGCAGGTAGTAATGACAACGGCGAGACCTTCGGGAATAGCAGCAACACCGAGAGACACGGCGATCTTCAAGTAGTAGATGGCACCCTTGGTGAAGGATCCGTGGCTGGGGTCGCTGAAGTGAGGGATGTTGATAAGCCAGACGAGGATGCAAATGACCGTGATAACCTTTGCGAGACTGTCGCCGAAGTCGTTGAGCTTCTGCTTAAGAGGAGTGGGCTCGGAGATCTGGGCGGTGATACTCTCATGGATGTCGCCAATAGCGGTTTGGGAACCAGTCAAGACAACGACAGCCTTTGCGCGACCAGTAACAACAGTGGTTCCAGAGAACAACATGTTGGTCTGGTCTTGCAACACAGCCTTCTCATCCTTGACAACATGATCGCAGTCCTTGCCAACACTCTCGCTCTCTCCAGTCAAGATAGCCTGGTCGACGTTGAAGCTGTTGCTCTCGATGGCGATGATACGGCAGTCGGCAGGAATGCGATCACCAATGTGGACGGAGACGACATCACCGGGGACGAGCTCCTCAGCCTTGACACGGGAGACTTGGCCGTTACGGATGACGTTGGCAGAGTTGGCAGAGTACTCCTGCAGGGCGGCGATGGCTTTCTCGGCGCTGCTCTCTTGTGAGACACCGACGACGGCGTTGAGGATGAGAATGGTCAGAATCTGGAAATCGGCATTGTTAGCCGGGCAAAGTCTGGGCATTGTGGGTATTCGCATCCAAGATTACGTACCACAGCTGGGTCGACGAAGGCGCTCCAGCCTTCCTCGTTGTCGAAGAGCGCCAGAACGAAAGAAACAGCGGCAGAGCCGAGGAGGATTATGACGAGTTGGTCCTTAAATTGCTCGAGAATGAGCTCCCAGATGGGCGTCGGAGGTTCTTCGGGGATGACTGTGGACGGACTGTTAGCACGAAACTATCGTGGGTTTTGGGTCGAGTCGCAAAGCTACTTACCATTCTTGCCATGCTTGGTACGCGAGGCAATGACTTGATCATCAGTAAGGCCGGTCTTGGGGTTCACTCCCAGGGTTGAGAGGACCTTTTCGGTGGGTGAAGCGAATGCGCTCTCCATCGCGAAAGCTGCGCTGCGCGCGGGACTTGTCTTGTCGAGGAACCGTCACTATCTAGCCGAGTTGCAGCGGCCGTCGGAGTCTGTTGTCGAATGGGGAAACGGTGGACACGAAGGAACTCTTCAAGTGGTGTTGAAGAGAGAAAGGGAAAATCGAGATCCGAACCTTGTGAAAGAAAAGGCTAAGGATGTAAAGGAGAAAAAGAAGAAGGTGCTGGAAAAGTTGCGATCAAACAGACAGCGTATCTTATTGCCGTTGCGGTGGGGCAGGAAGCTGAAATCGTCGCCGAACTCCCACTGGGATTCCAATACGCTCTACGTGTTCGTTCAGTGTTTGCCTAGCAGTAACAGTGCGGAACGGATAGCTGCCCCTTCTGGAACCTTTTTTTTTGGCCGTCGAGGAAAGATCCCGAGCTTGTCCTTTTAGGGCTAGCGCTGGTGGGGGAGCCCCTGTAACAAGAAACAAGACTCCCAAGGTCCCAGCAATTCACCTGTGCGTCCCTGGCAAACTGGCCCGTATCTGTCCATATCGGGGACCAGCCACTGCGGCCCCGACGCAGACAAACGTGGGGCAGGGACCAATTAAAACCACTATACGGAAGCCGATAATCCGGAGCGTAGGGCAGAGTGGAGGGGGAAAGGGGAGCTCTTTGACAAGAACCTGGCAGCCTGGAAACGATGCGGAGTACGTACCCGCCTAGCTGACCTGATAAGCTTACACACTGGTGCGACTACTACGTACAGTGCTGACTGATCATTTATCGGAAGTGCCTGGTGTGCCTGCGTTTCGTACCGTGCTGTGCCTGAGTGGCACAGGTGGTAGAAGTCCCCCGTAATGACATAATCACCTTATTCACGTGACTGGCTAAAGGTTCCCTTTCCGATTGAGGCCCGCCGTCCCCGTCTCGAGTGGACCAGCACTAGGCCGCTCCGGAGCCACTTGGGGCGCTCGCGCCGAGCCCGAGTCAGGGTTGAGGAACGCCGCCAACGTACGGAAAACGGCCTGCATCCATTGCATCCACATCGTCCGCATGTCTTGCGTAAGGCAGGACGAAGACGTGGGTCATGGAGGCGACTGACACCCACTTTGGAGTCTCGGGGTATCGAGATCACGTCTTCCATGCAGTCCCGCCAAACACTCATAGTCGAGCGATATGGATAACCCGTACCGTCAAGCCACCGAGACTCGTGTGGTGGGCGGCGAGACCAAACGTTCGGTCCAGATCAATAGACGACTAAATCACTAGACTGGCGAAGAGGTTTCTTTGTCTCCCGCTCGCTACGCCGCGCATCAAGACATGGCGCTCATGGCGCTGATGGACCGCGGCCCGTCACCGCAATGTTGAGTTTTTCACTCTCGGACACACCATGCTGAACCAAAGTCTGCATCGAGCTTCAGCAGGAACTCCGAACCGGCGGCAGCTTCGTCTTCCGGCAGAATGTGTGCTACGATGGCATCCAATTCGCGTCCAAGACGCAAGATCCACGGATCTTGACCCGACAACGATGCACACTAGAGACGCGTTCTCTGGCCCGGCG